CATGCTATTTATATTAATATATTTACATGTATAGGTGTATTACTTATAGGAATGCATTTGTGTGAAACCGCGTAGATCAACACTGTTGCGACACATAACTACGATTGAGGTTGATTCTGGTTCATCGCGGTCACTGCCCTGCTGCGTCGGCATGTTCACATCCTCGCGTGAACAACTATGGCACCTACTAATAATGTGGCCTGGTTTGTACCGGTGCGACATTACTATTGCACATTTTTAAATGTGTAAATAGTTATTGTGGCATAATTGCAATAGTTACACATAATATCACGGACTTTAACGTTGTTATAATGTCCTCTATTAGACATCACTTGACTCTCTTACTCAGTATATTTTTCATTTATATATATAAATATACAAGATCACAGCTCTTTCCCCGTAGATGAAAGCGTGATAATATGTAGCCTATGTGTTGACCCGACTTGGTAGTGATATTCATGCAAAATTTGAAGTAAATCCATGCAGTACTTTCTGAGATCAGCCCGGACATACATACAGACAAACAGACAAAAATTCTATAAACCACATTTTCGGCTCCGGTATCGATTGTAGATCACGCCGCGAGTATTCTTTTAAAAAAAATATTCAATGTACACTTTTGAGTTTTCTACGCTTTTATTATATGTATAAAGATAAGATATAGTTTTTTTTTTTTAAAGCGTTGCCCCACATTAGGATTTTCTCCTGTGTCGTGGGTGCGTTTACAAACATACAAGTTCACATACACAATGACACCCAGACCAGAAACAACAATTTGTATAGATTTTATATATTTTTATTTTATAAATTGCTGTTATTGAATTGGTGACAGTCACTTAAGAAGCTAGTAGAATACCAGCTCAAGGTCGTAATGCCCATATTGGGCCTACTTCGGCGCAAACATGGGGCATGAACATGTTCATAGTTCATACATGCTCAGGCTCTACGCTTGTCATGCATCAACATCTTCTTGTTTCTTTTTTCTGTTTCTCCGAAGCAATAAGAGAAATACACGACCTAGTTTTTAATTTAAAATATATTTGATACTGTCAACGGTCTTCGAAGGAATCGTCACCCTGGGAGACGCCTTGTCGTACGAAATCGGATCGCAGCATCGTAATTTTCTGCGTTGCAAATTTGCATCGCATCGCAGTTTTGTGTAAGAGCCCTAAGATATGGTTAATTTTGGTAGCTATTTAAAGTATGACATCTCCGCAGTTACAATAAGTTGGTCTGCCTGTCTGCCTGCTCTCAATGGTTGTATTTCAGACTTTCAGGGTTAATGTAACCGTTTCAGCTATTTTTTTTTTTTTTTTGTAAAATACCATCGCCTCTTATTCTTAGTCTAATCTAATCTGCTTACAGGAAATACATGGAGGGTACAACATCAAAAGCTCCAGGACGCACCACACCAGAGCACATATCAGTACACGAACCCTGCGACTACTTAGTCATAAACTGTCATAGAGCTTATCAGTACGAGAACAAAATATTTTAATAGGATAGTTTCCTGAATTTTATTTTAATGTCCGTCTGGTACATTAATTTAAAACTTTAGACACGTAATTTTTCTTTTCTCACAAAATTATATACTTTCGATATGTTAATTAGAAATATCGTGTGACGTCACAGCGTGCTACATTTTGTAGCACGTTATGACGTAACGACCACACACTCCATTTTAACTAAGTACTAGATTTTACCCGCGGCTTCGCTCGCGTCACAAAAGGATACAAAGTAGCCTATGTGACTATCCATCCCTCCAACTACCTTCAGTTAAAAGATCAAGTTAATTAGTACCACCGTTTTGCCGTTTACGGCAGGCAAACAAACAAATAGCTTTCATAATTCGGTTATATCGCATATTTAGATTTTTTCGTGGGAATGAGATATTCTGCCGCGGTAAAGCCTTGTTTTTCCAGGACTCAAACTACCTTCATACAAAATTTCTTCAAAATCCGTTCAGCTGTTTAGGCGTGAAAGAACAACATAGAAGGAGTTATTTTCACATTACCACAAATACCATCCTCCCATTTCAATTCAAAAGACTTCACCTAACTAATAAACAACTACTGTATCAATCAACCCAAACAATGAACAAAGCGACTTCAAATGACGAAAATACAATAACTACTTTAGGTAATAATAACTACCTAAAAAAAAAACACTTAACTAATCAAACCTATTATTGATCGAGCGAAAACATATAGATCACAGTGCTAAATGCTTATACCAACATATAATTGTTTCGGTAGCTCGGAACCTTTACTTTCGCCGGTAACGAAACCATAGCGCCATCTAATCTATCCATCAGCGTTGAAACAACAGCGTACAATTTATTTGATAGTTGTTGAGTATTGTTGACGCTATGATTTCGTGTACCTTTAATAACCTAAAATCTATAAAATACACATTTTAATGTAAAATGGTATCGGTTTAGTAGTTACGGCGTGAAAGCGGAACAAACAAACAAACAAACAAACTCACTTTCCGAGAGAGAAAATAAAAAATACGTGTCTAATATTTTTTCATTATCTGACTGACGGACTAATTAGATGTTTAATTTTGATACCCTTGCAACTACCCTTCCCTTCAACATCAGGTTCTATAGTCTCCAAAGGAGTGGGTAATGCAAAGTGCCTACAAAGTACATACTATTAAAAAAAAGTTTAATTTCATCGTGTAGGTGAGCTTTTTTTATAAAATGTTTCTCCAGACAAAGATATTCTCCTTTGTGTGCGTTTATAAACATATGAATATAGAGGTATAATACATATATCACACTTAGACCCAGAACAACAATTTGTAGATCACAGAAAGTATTGTTTCGTGTGGGTAACTAATCATTCGTGACGTTGCGCAGCAGAAGAAGTTTGGGAGACGGTCGGACCAGATCTTTTCACAATACGAGGCCATATTCAATCTGGCCATGTTGCATAAAATACATAAACTACACGAGTACATTGCAGCACGGGTGACTCGCCAACCGATCAGAACCAGACCCGAGCGTACAGCGCATCGCGTTCCGCATGCACCTCAAGGAGCCATCAGACCACCACAGATGGGGCCCAATACGGTTGATGCCAATACGGAGCCACGGAAGACTTAACGGGTTGCCGGGGCTCCGGCTCGAAGTGCAGGAGTAGGAACGGGGTGGTTTTTAGTCAGTAAGAGTCTGACACTCTCTCTCGCTTCATCTGGGCGGAAGAAGCCATTGGATGATTTTACCCCCTCAAAAAAAAAGATGTATAGTATATACAATGAATAGTGGTTAGTGCCACACACATTGAAGTACGTATTGTTCCCTTTGTTAAACATCAAGCTACTACAAAAATATAAAATCAGGAAAGATCAAAACTATATCATGACACGCTGTATTTGCATACCTTGATACCTACCTATATAGTTCTATAATACATGTTACTCATGTTATAGGACTGGAAAAGTTTGCGGCAGAAGCAATTATCATCGTACGCGCACATTCAAAAACTATTGTATGCTGGATTTTGCGAATTGCATATTGAGATATGAAAGTAATATTTTATAACTAACTAATATGTGTGTTGTTATAAATAAGTAAGATAATAATAAAATATTTTTTAATAGGTTTTCAAGTTATTCATATGGGGGAATGCTATGAATTAAAATATAAAGTAAGGATTGTATGTAAGTAATTTTTCTAATACTAATGTAACGAAAATAATGTATGCTAATGTATCCACAATTATTATATCACATAAATAATAACTATTAAATTAGTTAATAAATTGAATACTCACCGTCACAGCTTGAGTTTCACCGCGAGATTTGTACGTGAATTATTATTTTTGCTTTATATTACGGCACACAACCCCGGTTTGTTTCCTTCAATAGGAACGCAATACAATCGTAGTGATGGTGCGCGTGGTTACGTTGCAAATGAGCATGAAATCAGGCACCCTGATTACCCGCGACTTCCTAGTGTTTTATTTTATTTTGTTTTATTTTACAAATACCCGACGGCACACTTAAATTATAGCACGTTCATATATTTACATAATTAATTTTGACTGCTCTTTTTTGCATATAATATAAACTGTGTTTTTTTTTTAATTTGATGATTATTTATTTAACAGAACATTATTTTAATAATATTTTTATTATCTGTCTCTTCTTCGTGTAATAATATTTTTGATATACATATAATCATATATCTCTTCTTCATCTAACCGAACACTTCACCTAGAACCCACAAAATTAAAACGAAGGTTTTGGATATATGCGGATTACAAGTATGTGTTGCTCTCGTCCGTGCGTCACTGCAGGGGTGCCAACTGAACATCAGTGTTGGGTGCTCATTGTGCCCAGCTTTATGCTGAGTTGGTGACCCGTTCGGATTGGGCATGTCCGCCAATGCCGCGCAGTATGTTGCACCTGTATTGTTGGCTTGTTTTAGTTGTAGTTTTATAATTTACCTGTTATCTTTTTATTTTTCTGTGTTTATACCTTTTATTGTTCTATATCTTTTCTGGCGTGCATGTCTTAGCCGAGTAAACGTATTTTCATTTAATATCACGTGTAAAATGAACAGCGACCTGCGTATTTTTATATATTTTTTAAGATATACCAAAGACTTATTTACTAGATTTAATACATAAAATTTTAGCCAAAAATCGCGGGTTACTCACGTGAATATACTGAGAAAAGCTCTACTAGTTTCGAACTACAGAGGGAGCTAGATGCGCAAGTAGCAACACCGAGGCGAACGCCAACGCTAGCCAGAGGCTGCGCGACGTCGCCGCGACCGCGCACGCTGCTCATGAGGAAGAACCCCTCTGTGGTTCGAAACTAGAAGAGGTTTTCTCAGTATATTCATGTGAATAACTCGCGATTTTTAGTTAATTTAGTATGTCTCACGATAGTTATTATAAAAATTCAGTCCCTCTCGCTCCGTACCATGGTCTGAACCAGAGCCGGACGCGAGAGGTCGCCGTCGCCGATCACATTCCTGAGGACACGGCAGTGCTCAGTCCGCGCAGGACGCACTCCCACCGTATGCTCCACCGTGTCCTCCGGGCGATCCTCGCAATGATGACACCCGGGCGTTTCCTCCCGCCCAATCCGAAACAGGAACCTACCGAAACTTCCGTGTCCGGTAAGCACCTGCGGCAGGCGGTAGGTGAGGACGCCGTAGCGTCTATCAAGCCACTCCTCAAAGAGAGGACTTACCGCTGCAATGACAGCGAACCCAGCCCTCGGTTGCGACAGTCGTTGCTGCTATTCCGCCATGAGATCCCGCCGGAGCTCATCCCACTACGCACTAATCTGGCGCGGCAGCGGAGTTTCGGCCCGGCGACGTGCCTCCGCTCGCAAACAAAGCACGCGCGCGAGCACCTTTGCCTCCAGATCCTCGGGCCGCCGCATCAGGTTCGGCGCCCACACAGGGGTCATGGACCGCACGACCCCGGCGTATAACCTCCGGCAGGAGGCGTTTGGCCCCCCGAGGTTGGGTAGGAGGCGCTTAAGCGGTCCCCCGTCCTTTCCAACTTAGGAGCCAAACGTCGGAAATGCTCCACGATGTTCTACCGGCTGTCGAGGACGAGTCCTTGGTACTTCATGGTTGTCTCGACGTCGATAACTCCTCTCGCCGTTATTTGGGACTCACCCGGAGGTTGCCCGTTCCCTCGGCCATGAAAACACATGGCCTCGGACCTGTGGAGCGCCACCTCGAGTCCCATTTGCCGGAGCCTTTCAACGACTGTCGTAACCGCTCTCGCCGTTAAATTAGCTGCCGCCTGATGTTAACACCAATGTGTCATCAGCGTAACATACCACGCTGACGTTGTTCAGGAGGTCGGAGCGCAGCACCCAGTCATAGCCGATGTTCCACAGGAGCGGCCCTTAAACCGAACCCTGTGGAACATCGCGCGACGTCTCTCGCCGGTTCCACTCATCTCGGTGACCGGGGTAAACGACGGTCCGTTCCGTCAGATATGCCTCGATTCGACGAGGCATGACGGAGATAGGTGGGCACCCGATGATATCGAAGTGCCTCCAAAATACAGCTCCAGGGCAGGAAGTTCAAGGCATTGGCGATGTCCAAGGACACCGCCACTACGACCTTACCCCTGGACACTGCAGTCCCCGTCGTGACACGCATGATGGCGTCGACCGTGAAGCGCCCTCTGCGGAAGCCGAACTGGCCGTCCGACAGCTCCGGCCCAACATCCGACAGGTGCGCGGCGAGGCGGTTCGAAATTATCCTTTCGAAAACTTTTCCCACCTCGTCGAGCAACACGAGGCCAGGACCCACGCCTTGCCGTGCAGTCCGTCGGGTCCCGGGGCGTTGTTCTTGGCGCCCATCCGGCGCACCGCCGCTCTCAACTCGGCCTCGGTCACCTCCGAAACTGACACAGTTTCGGAGGTGACCGAGGACCGTTGTCTTCGCTGTGGCCCACATAGGGCACCGCAGGGGGCGGAGTCGTGGATGGAGGGGTGAAACCCCTCTGTAGTCGGGGGAACAAGGCGCCGACCACCTCCTCCACTACCTCTGGCCGGAAACTCTGAGTCAGCGGGGGAGCCCATGTGCGGAGCTTATCCCGCACCATCCGATAGGGGCGTCCCCACGGGTCTCTGTTCAGAGTCTCCAAGAACTCCTGGCAGGCATTCTCCTTGGCCCGCCGTATCTCCGCTTAGAGAGCGGTCTTCGCCGCCTTGTACCCCTCGGACAGCTCCGCCTCTCTGACCTCTGCGTCCTGAAGACGGATACGAAGCCTGCGGTGCCTGGTGTACCGGCGTCGCGCAGGAGTGCATGCACTGCGTGGAGTAGCCAGCTCTTGCGACCACCAGTTCGTCTGGCTGGCGTTGCGCTGACCTGGCTAGACCCGGGGCATTGCCACGTTACAAATTCTGGACATGGCGTCCTGGAGCCACCTCGCCTCCTCGTCGATGTCGGCAGGCCTGTCCGGTGGTATCACCCAGGCCTGCACGATTGCGGTTTCCAGGAATAGCTCCCGGTCCAGCTGTCTCAGCGCCAAACGCGGGCCACATGGGGCCTGTCTGACCAGCGGGTCCGCGGACTCGGTGGAGACGTTAAACCGGATATACCGGTGGTCGGAGTACGTCTCCACCTCCTCCATGATACGCCAGTCGTTCTGGGTACAACACTGGGTACTTTTTATCCCGAAAAATAACTATTATTAGTCATACTTACTTATAGGTTACCCACCCACTGATAGCGTGAGAAGTCGGTGCCACAAGTATTAAACAAAAGTAATTTTTTAACTCCGTAACAAATACCTTATATTACCTAAGCTGTGTACAATTTTATGACAGGTTATAACCATGACCATTAACCTGTTATATTTTGTTATGGGTTTGTGGCAATTTGTTACTGTAATAATAATATAGCCTTTATTCAGATCATTGTTACAAAGGAAAATATATTAAAAACTTAATCTAAAAATAATGTAAATATTAACTTAAAATTTAATCCCTTGTATAGCTTTGGTGTATTTTTTGGAAATCTGTTTGCTATTCGACAAAGGCCTCCTCCAACCTTTTCCACTCACGTCTTTCTTGAGCCACTCTGTACCATGTGACGCCTGCCACTTGTCTATTATCGTCATCCCATCTCTTTTGAGACCTTCCCTTCTTTCTTTTTCCATCTCTTGGGTACCATCTCGTAACAATTTTGCTCCACTTGTCTTTTCCTCTTATCATATGCCCTGCCCATTTCCACTTCAGTCTCCTTATTTTACTCGTTATGTCTGTAACCTTCGTTTTGCTTCTTATTATGCAGTTTCTCAATCGATCAAATCTTTTCACATTCATCATGCTCCTTTCCATTGCATATTGACATGTTGCCAGTTTATTAATAATGTTTTGTGACAGAGTCCATGTTTGGCTGCCGTACATAAGAACTGGTAATATGCATGTGTTAAAAAGTTTATTTTTTGTTTTATTATGCAGGTTTTTATCCTTCATAATCTCTTTGAAACTCCAGTACCTTTTCCAGCCATTGGTTATTCTTCGTTCTACTTCCCTGAGCATCGGATTGTCACTCGTTATTATTTGTCCAGATAGATATATTCATCTGTGTAATTAATTTGGTTGAGTCTTAAATTTATAGCCACCCTCTTTCCATTAGTCATCACCCTCGTCTTATCTGGATTCAGATGTAACCCTACCTTTTTGCTTTCGCTTGCCAAGTCGTTTATCATTTTTATATATCTTCCGCAGTATTTGCAAACAATACAATATCATCATCTCATCAGAATCTCAGGTGAGTTAGTGAAAGACCATCTATGTTGATACAAAGATTCTTCCATTGGAGACCTCTGAATTTTACTTCAAGCACCGCCGAGAATAATTTTGGTGACAGAGGGTCCCCTTGTCGTACGCCATTATGAATTTTGAAACGCTCTCCTTTCTTTTCTAATTGTATTCTTGCTGTACTCTTGCTATAGACGTTCCTGATCAGACGGATATACTTGTGCTCTATTCCTTGCTCTTTTAAAGCCTCCCATATCTTTGCATGAAATAAAGAATCGAATGCCTTACTGTAGTCAATGAATGCTATATAGCAGGTACATTGGTAATCTCTGTTCTTCTCCATGACTTGGCGTACTACATGAATGTGATCTAGCACTGAATAATCTTTCCGGAAACCAGCGTGCTCAAGGGGT